TTTGCTAAAAACAGTAAATTGTGTGAATAATTGCAACGTACACATTTTTTACGTTGAAAAAAAAAACAACAATGGAATCATTTTTTAAAAAAATTGTCCACTTTAGGTAAACTGGATGAGGTTAAAGTGCTAATTGAAAATGGGGCTAATATTTACGCTCGTACCACTGAAGGTGGTACGGCGATTGACCTTGCCTCTGAAAAAGGTATTCATTTGGATAAACAAGAATTATTCATTTAATCAAATATACTTTCAATTGTGATTGAAATGAGGGAAGTTGATGAAATGATTGATTCATTCGAGAAATTGAAATTATATCAAACTATTACAAAAGTGTCTGTGTGAATGAATGAGTAAAACAAAAAAAATCATTTAGTAAATTCTTTCAAATAGAAAAATTTGGATAAAAAGTAAACCAAATTGTACAATTTGTCCATTGCAGGTTATACCGAAGTCATTGATTACCTGAAGAAGATTAAAAGCGAACGTGAAAGAGTCGACTGAGAATTTTTTTTTTAAATACGCTTTGCTAGAGTTCCGATATTTCAAATGATAGATTTAAATGTACTGAATAATAAAACCAACCAATTTTATAAAAAAAACAACAATTTATTGTTTCAATTTCAATTCAGTCATGTTCCTATCCCGCACCTATGTAGGAAAACTATTTTCGTTGATTTGTTTGAAGTAGACTAAATTCCTCAACTCTAAACTTTTCTTAGAAAAGATATGGGTATGAGTATGGTGTGGCGAATGGAGGTAGGGCTGATCTGGCCACAAATGGAGCAGGTGCAATGTAAGGCGATGGTCCTACCAAAGGAGCAGCACGAGCTATAAGAGGTGCGGGCGCCAATGGAGCAAATGAGTTAATATAAGGAGCTGGTGCAACCAATGGACCTGCACGGGCAACGAAAGGAGATGGAGCAGGAGCAATCAATGGAGCCGGTGCAGGTGCTACTAAAGGAGCTGTACGGGCTACAAGGGGAGCTGGCGCCAACGGTGCAATATAAGGTGCTGGAGCAGCGGCCACAAATGGTGTAGCGGCGACCGGCGCGGCTGCGAAAGGAGTGGCAACGGCGTGATTCACAGTGTGTGCGTTGTACGATGAGGCGTATGGTACGACTACACTTTCGAAAGAGGCTGAGAAGCACATAGCCAACACGATGAAGATCTAAAAATGATCGAAATGAATTTAATCCATTTATTAGTTCACTTGAATCACTTTTAACTTGTCCAAATACTCACAATGCTTGTTGATGCCATTTTTGATAGACAAATAACTGTTTTCCGATATTAACGAATGAAACACTAAACACGATTTGATGTTGAATGACCAGCAACACGGCGTTTTTATACTCAAAAGAAGCGGTACAATTCGAAATTAACAAAATAGTCACGATGTGTGAACGTAATAGTCAAGCGTATTGGAAGCGCGTGCGGAATATTTAATCAGTGGCTTCTGTTCATTTGCATCAATTTTGACTGTGTGCGCCGAACGGTTGCAACTACTTTTACTATCATTTAAGCATTAAACGTGGGTGTTTACCAATATTGCCTCCAGCTACGCGTAATGGAACTCTTCGTTCGGTAATTGATTATGTGAGAAATCATGGTTTTGGCCCAACATTTTTGCCATATGAGCTTCGCGCAAAATTTGTGCATTGAAATTCGTTTTGTATGCAGAAAGTCTTTCCAATCAACAACGTCGATGAAATAATTCATTTTCCAATGCAATCGAAATTGGATACACTACCTGCAACTGCTTGATGAAAACCATTCATTTGTTTTATTGAAACATATGACAAAATCAAGGTCGTTTTCTATTTCTACGTAAACAATTTAAATGGAACACATTTGGAATTGAGTGGAATGCATAGTTGCGTTAGCACATTGACCCATATGGAGTCGATTCATTTAAACGATTGCATGTTCATTCATCAAAATTGACGACAGCAACACGCGATACTCAAATATTATTTTAAATGTTTTCAACTCTCTTTTCAAAATCATTTTCTATTCAATTTTCGTTTGATTTTTCGTAAATCCACACCAAGTGGGTTTGCGGTAATTGTATTCCATTTTTGCGTGATGTAAAAAATCGCAATATTTTTTGTTTCTTTTCAAATAATCGATTGGTTTATTTTTTTCTAACTTTTTACTTTAATCGAATTTAAATGCCAATTATTTTCTAATTCGAAGGAAGAAAAAGAGATATTTGAAGAGGGAAGGATTAGAAACAACCTCGTTTTGTACAATGTTCATGATACAAATGAATCAGTTATGTTCAATGACCGCAAACATGCAGAAGAAATGACTGTTCGTTGATTCGTAATCCAAGTTCCCATGGCAACGACTCAACGATCGATATATGCATTGTCATATTTTATACTGATTTGCTTTGGAAACCGATATGTTAAATCGATAAGCCTGCTACACTTGTGAAATGTCACTTCAATCGGCTCAGTCGGTTTCCTTTTAATAATAGACGGTCTTTTTACGACAAAATATCCGACCAGAGAAAGCATTATAAAAATAGCAAAGCATTTTTGTTTTTCATTCATAAAAATCCATAAGATTATTTGACACTTGATTACTAACGGCCAAGATGGATCAGAATTCAGATAATTTGAAAAAACGGACGAGGTACGAAAAAAACACATTTTCCAAAAAAAGTTTTATTTTTCATTCCAATATTTGTGCGGTGAAGGTTTATTAATGCGGGTTTGGTATTCATTTAAATGAGATTTTTCATAATTTTCCTTTTTAATCAACATTTTCAATTTTTCTTTCGTTTCTTTGCTTCCCGTTGTTCAATTTCCACACACTTTTGCATTTATTTTGATATATTGCTTGAATATCATTAGAACTAATTTATTGCTCGATTTTTCTAACCACATTGCATTTCTGCTTGGAATAGCATGACCAAGGAGAATCTCATCAACTTGTGCAAGAAGAATAAACTCTATCTAACGCCTTATTTGAATGATGTACTCTACTTACATTATCAAGGTAAGTTTTTTTTATCTCAGTTCACGTCATAAATTTTTAACTATCTTTTTTATTGTGTCAAATGAATCGGGCCTTTTAAGTGTTCCTATTAAAATTCTTTATTTAACTTCGTTTTTTTACTTGTTGAATGTTGAAGTCGGATATGAGTTGTGCTAACACAAAATATATATCCTATCAGAGTAATATGATCAAAGCCAAATTTTGTCCATTTCAAATTACATTTTAAGATTTTTTTTTTTTGTAAAATTGTGAAATGTGTCATAATGCAAATAAATTGAAACTGAAGATTCCATGCAAAAACGATGGAAAAAAATCCAAAAAAAATCTATTAAATAATAAAATATTTGATCAAAAATTTACATCTCATTAATTAGGCTACCAAAAGATCGAGAATTTGGACGAGTTTACGGGATTGAAATGTTTATGGCTGGAGTGTAATGCATTATCGGAGATATCTGGACTCGAACATCAGAAGGAATTGCGTTGTTTGTATTTGCACAATAATTTTATTCGGGTAATTTTGCCATGATTGAAATGCTTCTTTCGGTAGTGAGACAGACTGTCTCAGTCTGAGACTCTCGGACAGTGTAAGAAATAGAGAATGAGACAAAAAAATTCAAATTGAAACAATGGAACAGTAAAGAGTGAGATAGTAAAACGATGTCTCTATATATCGCCTCAACGTAAACAGTGTGGGATACAATGTGTCGCCGACACATGCTGTACTCGTTGAATACAGATATATTCTATTAGAATATTATTCTAATGCCTTTTTCTTTTATCAATTTTGATGAGCTTAAAAAATATGTTTATCATTCTTTTCTTCTTTGCAGAAAATCGAAAACCTCCAGCACTGTGCCCAGTTAGATACGTTGAATTTATCGCACAATCATGTTAGGTCAATCGAAAACTGTAATTCAATGATTCTACCACAGTTGAATACTTTGAGCTTATCACACAACGCGTTGAGTTCTATTGAGGGTTTGGAAGAGTTGGTCGAGTGCAAATCACTATCAGTTTTGGATATATCGCACAATCGCATCGAAGATGTGCTAATCGTTAAAATCCTATCGCAAATGCCTGAACTCAGAGTATTAACACTGACCGGAAATCCAGTCATTAATGAAATTCCATCGTATCGAAAAACAATGACCGTTGAATGTGTGAGTAGAGAGAGAGAGAGAGAGAGAGAGAGAGAGAGAGAGAGAGAGAGGGAGGGAGAGAAAGAAATTATTTTATTTCATTTTCTGTGCAAGAAATTCAAAAAAATCATTCAATGTATGGAATATAACTTAACTGTTCCATTCTTTTTAATCTAAAAACGTGACTATTAGAAATAATTCTTATAAATTTTTACTGCATTTTCAGAAAAATTTGACATATTTGGATAGTCGTCCGATTTTCGATAAAGATCGTGCTTGTGCTGAGGCATGGTATGATTTGTTCGATATTTAAAAAAATTGCAAATGTGAAAAATCATAGTAATTCATATTTTTTCTACCATAGGAAACGAGGTGGATATGAAGAAGAGAAACGAGAAAAATCGAAATGGGATGCCGCACAGCAGAAAAAAATCATGGACAGTGTACGAGGTGAGTAGAACTGTTTGAAGTACTTGTATGAGCTGCTCATGATGTGCATTATTCATATGAATTTTAATGTTCAGAAACAAAATCCACTCTACTATCAGCCCTGTAGCATAAAATACGACATAAAATTGCTAAGTTTTTTTAAATTCTATAAAATTGATCCAAAAATCTTGGAGAATCAAAAAGTGGTCAAACTCTCAATAATGAAATTTCATATGGGATTTAAAGCAATTATTAGAATTCTAATTCTAATGAATATTTTACTTTTCAGCTACGTTGCGGCTTCGACAAAAACTCCAAGAGAAGAATTCAAATTCACCGACTTCAACCGGTGATAATGAGCAAATCGCTGTCTCAAACCCACAACCGAATATTGAAGAGTTGATCGAAAGTGTGGAAAAATCGATTGAACTCTATTCATCCGATGTAACGCCGAAATTTGAGAACTTTGAATCTATTCCGGACTCAATACCAATAGACACAAATGCCACAGCCACTCACGCAACAGTCAATAGTACAAACATTGAAATTCTAAGCGATACGCACAAAAATGAGATTAATTCAGTACATGACTATGAAAATTCGAATACAAACAGGATTTCAACGGATTGTTCAGAGTCACTGATTGAACCATCAGTTCCGGACTTATCTCTTGAACCAAAAATTACTTCTCGCATTGAAATTTCCGATGTGGAATCAATGAACATGCTAAACATTTGCATGAATTCTCGCAATAAACTGAGTCCAAATGGCCAATCCCCCACATTGATTGGCAAATCCAAACCGATAATTGAGGTATTATCAGATTCTGATTCCATTGAGCCGCCGGTTGAAGAGTCAACCAAACTGTCCGTCAACGTCCCAAGCTCGGAAAAAAATTTGCAAATTGAAGAGGTGAACATATCAAACGAATTTAGCACGGATAATGCATCAAAATCTGCTGACGGAGATCCAGATGTGGAACAAAAAACCATCACAACAGACAATTCATGTCATATCGATGAGCAATTGAACACAGATGACCCAAATAACACCATTATTGAAGTGAATAAAACGACAAAATCATCGGCTATAACATTTTTTTGCGAAAATTTAGACGATCTCAAAGGAATGGATAGCGATTCGAATCAAAGTGGAGAGGAAATTTAGATGCAATTACTTTAGTTGCAGTGCAAATAAATAAAAAATGATGACAATTGAAAATGAAAAAATTTCATTGAAAAAAATGTAGAAGAGACAATGTTACTAGCATGTAAAAGTAGAAAAAAGGCATTTTATCACTGTCAAACCCACATCAAGTGAGGAAAACATGAATAAATGAAATATTCTAATCTAATTTAGACAA